GAGGCCTATGGTCTCCATCCAATGCTTACTGAGTTAGTCATTTGCTGTTGTCATTGCTTAACCTGAATAACTGACTTTTAAATCAATGTAAATTATACTTAAATACCATTTATAATACGTAAATACCTTTTATATTGCAAAACCTTTACATTGCAGGCACCCGTAGTCCGTAACCTCGAGCATGTACGAAAAGTCTAATGAATTTGGAATCACACTGTATGTCAGAGATTGTGGCCAATGATGTTCTATTGTCTCTAGGCAGAGCCGTTACTAATTTAAGATCATACATATATTCATATTTATACTTAGGGTCTTATCGTCCAGGGTAGGTATCCTTATTTAGGTAGCAATTATTTTCTTATTTTCAACTTACACTGAGGCTAATGCATCCGTCATTTGAATTAAAGGAAGTTTTCAACCTCAGGGACATTTATAAGTGATTGTATGCACGTAGATATGTTTAAGTAATAAACAAGTAATCTTCCTCCTTCATTGGTTTTCATTTTTCCTATATATCAGTTAGTTTAGTCACCATTGTGTCAATGCTCAACACCTAACTCTCACTATAAACAGTCTGCTCATCATATCCTCTGGTAATGTGGTCTTTGGTATAATGAACGTAATATAATGCTGAATACCTTGCAGGTGACATCTGGGGCGGTATACTATGGGGATCTTGTGTCAACTAGGGTGAATTTCCGTGCGTTTAGGCGATTCTGCCATACATATTATAGAAATCAAATATAGCTCATCTAGGACCCATAATATTTTGTGCCACGGCCACAAAAAAGCTTGCTTCCCTGATTAAAAGGGTGTATGCCTATTTTACTCCATTTTGTCTCCGGCTTTGCTAAGGAGGGAAGTGGATTTACTGTATTTCCAACTCCTCCAATTTTCTTCTGATAATTTCGTTGCGGGTTCCAAGACAGTTTAATTTCTTCCTGGGACTTCCCGAGTGTCATAACTCGGTGTGTTCATGAGTCACTGCTGTGGATCCTGGTGTACAGGAGTTACAGGGGTAGGCGTGTGGGTGGGATTAGTTCCTAATATATCAGTTAGTAGGTACAGCAGTTATTTTATTTTGTTTAAAAGAAAAATTGTAATAAAAAAAATGGAAATCGACGATCATATGTGTTTAGGGCTCCAACACAACTTTGGTGTTGACCATATTTACGTGAAGACTAAATTTATTCGCATCTATTCTAATTATGGTTGGAGATTTAGCAAGTTAAATTTTTCATGGTAATTGGCAATAATTATCAGGCTTTTAAATGCACAGAAAACTATGTTTAAATTAAATGATCACTTTCTAGTACTTAGTAACGTTATTATCAATCAATATGATGGATATTAGTGTTAACTATTATTACTACTATTAATACTACTACTATTACTATACTACTACTAGTAATATATTATAACGATTTAATTAAATAGAAATATTTATTAATTATCTTCAATCTTCCATAAATCATGTGTCTATGAATATGTTGAATTATCATTTAATGTTTAATAAATTACACTTTTGTCATATTTTATATGATATTTATTTATTGTGAAGAAATACATTTGATTTTGCGATTCATCCCTCAAATTATTGAGTTAACAAAACTGCTTCGTAGCCACAGGAAATTAGTATTTTCGACTTAATTGTAAAACTAAGTTTCATCATGTAATTGTCCGCTTTAGGTGAATAATATCAGCAAAAAGGTAATTATTTCTATAGGTGATTAAAAAAAGCTTAACAATGACCATGACCAGCAATATACCTAGCTTTATTCTAGGGTTTTTATACATCCACTTGTAGAATTATGCTAGATTAGTCTTTCCAGCGCTGGGCCAGCGCTCAAGGTAGCCATAGCGCCTTAGGTGCTACACGGCGCGGCGGCGCCTGGTGCGTCATCTGTGACAGTGCAGTGGTAGTGCTCTCCTATTGAGAGGCGGTTTTGACACTGATAATTTTAGATACTGAGATGGCCAGTTTCGTGTGTTGGTAAACCTAAACTTTAATTATTGTTGGCGTACAAAAAAAAAACAGCGAATAGCGTATGCTTATTGAAAAATGTAGTAGGGTATTGGTGTATTTATTAATTATATATATTAAATATTAGAAACAGAGTTATAAAAAGCACATAAAAACCTTTGTAGAAAATAGAAATGCCAACACTGATCAGTTTTTAATTCCGTGGTAGAATACAAGTATTCGCGTGCCAAGCAGTGAATGCAAGTTAAGTGATTGTCTTGGATAAACGGCTTGATAATTAGAAAAAAACTCATATTCCTAGAATAAATGAATAAGCTGTAATTTAACACTTGATATCCACCAAAAAAACAATATCATCATTAGGTGAGGAAACAAAAAAATAATAATATAAAAGGCTTTATACTTTAAACCAAAATTGTCAGTAAAACTTAGAAAATTATAAGCAAGTTAACTTTAATTAATAATTATAAGCAAGTTTAACCTATTTGACGGGCCTGTTGGCCTAGTGGTTAGTGACCCTGACTGCTAATCCGGAGGTCGCGGGTTCGATTCCCACCCAGAACAAATGGGATCAGATTATCGAATGTGAGAGTGGAAGTTATTATATTTTTATTTAAGTTACTTCAAAACGAAGATTCTTAACGTTTGTTTTTGAACTGATTTCAAAATTCAATCGGTTGTAGCCATAGTATTGCACATTTTAATAGTGACGAGTAATGATATTTATCCTCATAATATTTCTTCCAATTATTTTTGTTTAATATTATGGCTAATATGATTCTCTCTCTTACAATGTGATGATGAGATTGATCGAACTGTACAGCATCGAATTATTACAGGATGGATGAAGTGCGGCAGGTAACGGGACCAATTTGTTTCCCCTTAACACTGAAGGGATATATTTATAAAACTATCATCAGACCTGCCGTTGTGTATAGTTCTGAAAGTTGGCCCATTAAGAGAACGGATAAGAGACGCCTGAACGTAGCAAAAATGCGAATGCTGAGATGGATGTGAAGTGTGACTCAGGTGATAAAACTAGCTTGCTATTTCTTATGTTTGTAAATATTCTTAAAAAAACAAATAATTTAAATGACATTTGTGGACTTAAAAAGAATAAAAACAGAAATCTGCCAAAAAATACTCAGAGAAAATTATTAATATAATAATAAAGATTTAGAATTATTTCCAGATCTACTTAAATTCTTTGCTTGTTTAAATTTTTCTTTTCATCTTTTTATTAAATACTATTATAGATATTTTGTTGTTGACAACAATGTCATCGGTTATCAACTCATACTAATATATAAACACTGCACGTAAAAAACATGATTCAAACGCTGTCGGAGTTACCAACTTAAAATATAATGCCGCTAAAAACACAACATTAAAAAACCCAAGTTTCGCAGCGCAGTACTTCAACCGGAAAAGTTGTGAGATTTTTAAAGTTTTTTTTTTTAACAATAGTATTTTATAGTAATCGCGTCAGTATTAGATCTGTAGTCTTTAATTCCTTGAAAAATAGAATAACTTGACCGTAGCAACATAACTACATAAGAATAATCTTTTATTTTTAAAGAGGATTGTCAAAGTTGAAGGGTTAACAATGACTTTGTTTACTGACTGTCGTACCCCCGAACGAGAATGTTAAAAACAAAAAAGGAGTAAATGATATGGAGGCTTTTTTAAAGAAGTATAAATATTAAAAGTGTTAAGGTAAACTTTTACTATACATAATAATTGCAGTTTCCTTAATATGACTCAATCAAAAATTCATTTTTACTGCTATAACCCCCTATATTTATTCCTAGAAAGTTTTAGAAGGAGTACACATGCTTCTTTATTGCTTCTTCATAGTAAAATATAGATTTTACTATGAAGGATTATTGTGAGCTACCGAGACTAGATTTAGGAAATATGTTGAACTATACTTAAAACTTAAATATTTTGAATAGAAGTGTAAAGAAGAAATAGTTGTACTCCTTCTGAAGCAAATTTCGCGGCAGAATTAATGTAAAATTTAGAATACTTTTATTTTGTATGTAAAATCATGCGAAATAGGCTACAAGAAGCTTGTATGTTGAATAGTGAATAGGTGCAAAAAATATATATATTAAAATCTACATAATTATTTCGTATTAATGGCACAATGTTTTGTGACTTTAGACATAGACAAAGGAGGCGTCTTGTGGCTTCTGCTACATCCTGTGCTGCATCGACTCATTTCAATTTTATTGTATTTGTTTATGGCCTCTATTACTTATTTATACTTATCCTGGTCTGCTAGAGCAAATGACATTCATTCACAGCTGTAACTGACAGCATTCCGCATAATATTCTCATAAAGATTTTGGTAACTAATCCAATCAGTCTATGAGTTAAGAAGGAGCTGTAAAGAAAATAAACACATGCAATCTGAAACAGATGTATTCTTTTGAAGAAGGCTCTCTGAGGCTTTTAATTTGACAATTTTTTTAAATATCTAACAGAGTCCAGATTCCATGTGTCCTTTTCTCAATAAAAATGTTAAACATGGTTTTTATAACTCTATGGTGGTTCTTTTTTGACGAGTGAAGCGTCTTGCCGCGACGGTCTCAGGCATCACATCGATACTGTTTCATTGTTCTTCGTCGAGCATCCCAAAAATACACAAGCAAATAAAAACCATACGTTTTTAATTCATAAAAAATAATCGATGCCGCGAGATCTTATTGCATCCACTCTGCCATCTCCTTCGCCGTTATGATATCTTTTTTCCTTGTGAACAGGTTTATGAGGTGATAAAGTAGAAATTAAAATATAAAAAGAAGTCTCCAAAGACGTTCAGTTCTTAATTTATAGAGTAGTCATTATATAGGAATTACGTTAATGATATCAGTGCTTGAACGTAAAACCTCATTCACGTATAAAATGCTATCCAACGTTTGGACATTCATCTGTCGCGTGGTCTTAGCCCTCGAAAATCAATCACAGTGCAGTTGATAAAACGACCGGCGCGCGCGCAGACGACTCAGTGATGGCGCGAATTTTGATTACTTTATTTTTCGTCGTGTCGGCCGTTTTGGTGGCAAATGTTGCAACAGGTGCGTAAATGTGTTTGTGTGCGATTTTGCGTTTATAGCAAAGTAATACGGACGTGATTTTTTCTAAGTGGATTTCTGTATATTCAATTTTTTTAAAACGCGTATAGTTTATACTCTGTGTTACATATTTTGAGGATTTCATTGCTGTGAATTGATTAACTTTTTATAGACGATTTTATTAAATGATATTTAAATTGACCCCACATTGCGGAAGCTTAAAAACTTACGAGCACATATTTTTAAAGTTTTTTGAAATAAACATAAAAGGTTAAAATTTAATTAGCTTCCAAACAGAGTTTTTTGTGCGAAAGTGTGAAAACTTGTTTTTAGCGTTTGTTTTACGTGAATAATTAATTCATGGAATGACTTGTTATCCGTACTTATTTTAACAGCTGTTTAGTCCATAGACTTAACATTTACGCGATGAACGCAAAAACGATATTATATATTTTTATGTTTATTAAATATTTTTTATGGTACTGAAGTACATTATGTTGTCTAACTTATTCTAGTGTATTTTAAAAGCTTTTTCGCAAAGTAATTAAGTGTATTAAAAGTGTAAAAAACATTTTTTTTTAAGTAATTACAATATTTCGCTTAATTATATTGGATTCTTCTATATCTAGGATATAAAATTCTCGCGTCACGGTGTTAGAAGTTGAACTCCTCCGAAACGGCTCAACCGATTTTCGTGAAATTTTGTGTGCATATCGGGTAGGTCTGAGAATCGGCCAACATCTATTTTTCATACACCAATTTTTTTTTGACATTTATTTTTGAAGAATTGTATATGGCAATACAACGTTTGCCAGGTCAGCTAGTATTCTTATAAGACAGTAAACCCATTAAATAGTTTTCGGTAGCGTAAGTAAGCACTTTTTTATTTGCAACGTAAGTGGACAAAAGTGGAAGAAAGTCTTAGGTATGGGAGTTGAAGGGTATAAGAGAGAAAGACCAAAAAAAATGGTGGATGGACTGTGTGAGTGAGGTTATGACTAGGTGTACACAGTGAAATGACGAATGGTAGAGTTGAATGGAAGAATCATACATACTGCGCCACTGCACATAATTGGAATAAGGGTAGGCAGATGATGGTAGGTGTACCCTCATAAGCGTCGCTGTGGTACATTGAAATGAATTGATGAGAAGTCAGGTACAGAACTGACGCGAACAATAGATAAAAACTTTGACACAAAATTTGAGCCAATAAGTGTAGAACTTTTTGAGTTACCAGCTTACCATTTATTTATAATATATATTTATATTTACATATTATATGTATTTATGTTAATAGTAATAATGTATACATATTCTAGATTTAGTGAAAGCTACTCAATTTTACAGAATATTTATCAATGTCGAAATACTATTTCCAGTCTACTATAGCTAATAAAGCTTTATATCCTAGATCATGAAAGAAGTTAAACTGCCAGATAAAGGGTAATTATCTCTTTTAAAGTTTATCACGGGGACGGTAGCGCGCCGTGAATACACCAATACTTGTCAGCGATTGATTTCTACTAAAATCGTTTCACATCGTCACATCAACAGCCTTTAATAGTCCACTGCTGGACACAGGCCTCTCCTTAAAAAGGAGGTTTTGGCCTACTATACCACGCTGGTCAGACGGGTTGGTATAGGGTTTTGTATCAAGTTTTTCTTCTCTTCGTTTACCACCGTTTTACGATAGAAATGGATGGAATGGATTTAAGCAAATACAGCTATTTTAAATTAAATTAAGACCGCGTTCTTGTGTACAAAATATTAAACAACCTTCAAGTAACATTTAATGCAGACAAAATAACTTAATAATCTCGTTTAAGACTTTTTTTTTCTATCGTTGATCAAGTTTTGCAACTAATCCAATGAATTGATATTATTAAAAGGAATAAAAACAGTTTTAAAGTCAAATTATTAACAAAATTAAACCTAATGTAAATCTATATAAATACTAAGAAAAGCATTCAATCTGCTGCAAGTTTTGTAAAATACCTCCGATCAGATCCTATTTATTTTAAGTACATAAAGGCACCTAATTAATATCTCATCAATAACAGCCAATAATAGTGGACCGTTGGACATAGGCTTCTCAATAGAAAGAAGGTTTTGGCCCACTGTACCATGCTGACCAGACGGGTTGGTATAGGGTTTGTCTCAAATGTGCCTTCTCTTTGCAGTGCTGTTGTTCTGCGTAGTTTGCTCCCTTAGTTCGCTCTTATGACACCCACGAGATGAATAGGGGTGGTGACAGTCTGTATTCTTCACCACACGAACAACGTAATAATATCATCATCGTCATCATCAGCCTATCACAGTCCACTGCTGGACATAGACCTCTCCCATTGCACGCCGCTTAGATCGATTTGATGCAGGCCACTTAATAATATAAATACACAGAATTCTAGGCACGGATGAAGAGTTATATTTTATTTACACTCAGTTGAAATTGAGTTAATTACAGAAGATCGAAGTGATTTCATCACATTTTTCTCATTTTCTTCTTCTGAATACTGTTTTTTAAATATTATTTTTATTAATAATTGTTGTTTATAATAAACTATTTATAAATATTTATTATGTCATTGTGTAAGAAATATTATGGATCGCAGTAGGCAGACAGCATTTCTATAAATATTATTTCAACTTTTAATCATAACTCCAAGAATGCCTTTGAATAATATGTTACCTATATTTTTAACAGATATATTAATCCGTGTGGTCACGGATCAAGAATACATAGTATCACCAAACCTATTCATCCCGTGGGTGTTGTAAGAGCCGGCTAAGGGAGCAAACTACGAAGGACAACAGAAGCACTGCAAAGAGAAAGAAAACTTGACACAAACCCTATACCGACCTATCTAGCCAGCGTGGTATAGTAGGCCAAAACCTCCTTTCTAAGGAGAGGCCTGTATTCAGCAGTGGACTATGACAGGTTTTTGATGATGATTATAATGATTTATTGTACAGCTATCTCCAATCCCTTTCAGTAGATTTTTTTAAATTTCTTAGATATTTAATCACGTTTATGGATAACATTGTTTGTTAATATAAATAGAGTACACGTTTCTGCCCACGACATCCATCGCTAATCAAATATGACAGTCAATTTTGTTAGGTAATACATGTGCATCCTATTTGCTACTCCAGACTATAATCTGTTCATGTGCAAAATTTTATTCAGGAACGTTCAGCCGTTCGGGTGTGATTAAATAACAATCATTTACCCATCAAAACAGAAAGCACCAGAATGATATTTGGAGATAAATTCCATGCAATAAAGATGGTGTAGACATCTTTAGGTTCGGCATATATTAATCAGTTAATGTTTTTTGAAGGAAATTATTACAAATTTAAAAGAAAAAGTCCGTGTGGTGACGGATTCAGAATACGGAATTTCACCACCCCTATTCATCCCGTGGGTGTCGTAAGAGCCAACTAAGAGAGCAAACTACGCAGGACAAAAGCACTGCAAAGAGAAGGAAAACTTGAAACAAACCCTATATCAACCCGTCTGGCCAGCGTGGTATAGTAGGCAAAAACCTCCATTCTAAGGAGAGGCCCATGTGCAGCAGTGGACTGTTGATGATTAAAAGGAAAAAATATATCTCTCTATAATAAGTTGGGAATTTTCAGAATCTGACAACTGTACCTATATATACTGTGGGTTTTTAGTGTATATTTCTATTAAATTCATTATTTGTAAAAAAAAAATCGGTTGTCTGTAAAGTCGGTTTACTGACGATAGTTGAACGTGACAACGTCATAAGAAAATACTGATGGAATGGTAGCATTTTTCAAAAATGTATTATTGTATACGAGTAGCAGCTGTCCACGCGGACGCATCACTCACTCAAGTAGGAGAGAGACAGATGTCGAACGCTGCCGAACGCGGAGGCCGATTGTACCTCTTTGTCACTCGTTCCGCGCTCTCGCTTGCACTTCACGCCTTAAATGGAACGCCTCAGAGCGAGGTAACGCCGCATGAGTCATGTTTTTTCGTGCGTGCAGCCGGCTCCATCGAATTATAAGACGTTGTCACGTCAAAAAAAAATTACTAGACGTTTTGATCATAACTCTAACAGGTACACGAAATTTGTGAAAGACATTCCCATAATGAGTTGGGTTTGCATGGTTCTGACCTCGGTAAAGGCATCCAAATCTGACTTTATTACATTACCTACTTGTTTATATTGTTGCTTATTGTTGCATAACTTACAATATTACGTAAATTATGAATCAGAGATCTTGTTGAAATGTTTATCTTTGGGTGCACATATTATTTACGTTTCGATCCAGTTCTAAACGATGTATTTAAGTTTCTTTTAATGTAATTTGTGCATATAATAAACCAAAAAAAAAAAAAAAGATATATTATAATATTGTTTTGTGGAAAATTTTCAACTACGTAATTATCTGCCTGTTTTGCATTCCCCGGGTTTTTATGATTATTCTAAATTTATTTACCTTAACTAAGATTTAGCCTTAATAGGTAATCTGAAACTAAAAATACTTCCTCATTATCGTATGAAACACACGTTGTAAACTAATAAGAATTTAATTTAAATCCTACTTCTACCTCATAGTCCGTTAACGCGCTTGTGTATCTTCACTTTGTGTGTCTCTTCACTTTTCAGGCGTCCATAAGCGCCGGTAGTTACTTTCTATCAGGTGACGCAATGGCTTGTTTGCAATTGTATGTCATAAAAAAAAACAGGTCAGGTACGAGTCGAACTCGTGCGCCGAGGGTTCCGTACGAACCCAGATTTTACGTAGATTTTTGCGAAAATTTTCAAGCACCAAAATTTATCTTAATAATCAACTTTTCCTTCATTTGTGCTGTAAGACGTTTCTTTTTGCAAAATTTTGTGAGTAGGTCAACGGGAACTACCATGTAGGTTTTCGACCCAAAACCTATAGGGTATTTCCGGTTGACCTAGATTTGTCAATTTTAGTTAAAAGCAAGCTCTTACAGCACAAGTAAAGAGAAAATTCTGAAA